GGTGCTGTCCCCCTGGCAGTACCCCACTCTCTCTCTGGGTCTCCCCACTCAGGGGAACCCCTATCCCAATGTCGCCTCAGTCATAGCTACTGCCAGTCACCATCTAGCCCTCACGCCCTGGGGCAGACTGCAGTCTATCAGCCAATCATCACAGGCAACAAAGGGTTTGGACTGGCTGCCTTTACCCACCCTCAGGTTGCCCCTCTGCAACCCCAATACCTATATGGGCCTAGGACCAGGCCCTGCAGCCTGGGGAGTTGCTGGCCTACGGCTTCCCAGCCCCCAAGGCCTTTCCCCAGCCCTGCCTCACTCTGGGTCCCCGGGTGAGTTCCCCAGCAACCAGGCCTACGCCTAGGCCTGTCTCTCTCCAGTCAGAGGGAGACTCCTCAGTTTCTGGCTGCCCTGGCCTTCTTGTAAGGCTGAGTTGCTCAGTTTGGGGCATGGCCCCAGCTGCAGCCACTTCCCCAATCAGCCGGGGTTTTGCTCCTTTTTACAGCCCCAGCCCACGGCAGGGCTTTTCCAACCCCTTCAGGGCTGGAGTGGGTATTCACCCTGCTACACAGGGGAAAGGATTGTGCCCAGACTAGGAAGGCGTCCAGTCTGTGAAAGAGACTTATTGAAACATCTTTCAGGGTGAGATTTTATCTGTACTCAGTTGTATTACTGTATTAGGCTTAGATTTGTGTGTTTTATTTTATTTTGCTTGGTAATTCACTTTGTTCTGTCTGTCACTATTTGGAACCACTTAAATCCTACTTTCTGTATTTAATAAAATCACTTTTTCCTTATTAATTAACTCAGAGTATGTGTTAATACCTGGGGGGCAAACAGCTATGCATCTCTCTCTATCAGTGTTATAGAGGGCGAACAATTTATGAATTTACCCTGTATACGCTTTATACAGGGTAAAACGGATTTATTTGGGATTTGGACCTCATTGGGAGTTGGACATCTAAGTTGCTTTCAATGAAGCCTACAGCTGTTAGGGGACGTGGTTCAGACCCTGGGTCTGGGTTTGCAGCAGGCTAGTGGGTCTGGCTCAAACCAGGCAGGGTACTGAAGTCCTAAGCTGCCAGGGTAGGAAAGCAGGGGCAGAAGTAGTCATGGCACATCACTTGGCAGTTCCCAAGAGGGTTTCTGTGATCCAACCCGTCACATACCCATCGGCTCTATGAGCTCAGATGTGAAAAAATTACATAAGGGTATGTTTGAATACCCTCAGAGCTCACTGAGATTCTCATGCCTAAGAGCAACTGATAGTATTTAGTGACTTGCACCAGTTGTTCATTCTTATCAGGGACTTAAATAGATTTTCTCTCCTTCCCTTGGAATGTGAAGATCTAGAATGTGTGCCTTCTACTATCTTCCATGAATGTACAGTGATGCTGTAAACCAGCCTTGAAAAATCATAAAAATTTACTAACCAGGCACCAAATCTACTCTCTCCACCCTCTCATCATCACTATGATAATTATGATGAGAAATAAGTGATCTTACATAGCTGTCAAAAAAAAAAACCTCACTCTAAGCAGATGGATAATTAGTATTTTAGAAGGCTGCAGTTAATGTTATCAAAATTGAAAAGATGTGTAAGGCTGTTTTGAGGTATTTCTCCCAGATTATGTTATGAAGCCATTTTGTTCCCAGATTTTACACAATAATGAAGGCTTGTTAATGCTGCATACTGTATGAATGTTTCTTTCAATGTTAAGAATAGCAAGTTTATTTATATGGTTAAGAAAGTAGATCAATGGTTTACTACTATGCAGCACTAGATCTGCTCATAGAATGGTATGCACGTTTGTTATTACTACAAAAACTACAATAGCAAAAAAATCAGCTTACAGCCATGAATGTGTAGACTGTAACAGAAATCTAAGTAACCAGGAAGTATTAAAAAGTTTATTTGAAAATGATTACTTCATAGGCTTTCTACTGGATGCTTCGAATGCCTGCAGGGATTAGTGGCAGGCATAATGTTTTATTTGCAAGGGAATATATTTTACCTCATGTTTGCTTGACAGGAATAAATCAAATGATATTGTTATAGCACTCTTTTTGTGAACATCTCTAAGCACTTTACGTTACAAAACCCCCCCATAAAATTAAGACTAACTATACGAAGGCAATGTAAAGTTCTAATTAATTCTTAAGACTAAATATAAATTTAGCTACTGGCCTGAAAGAGTGCAATGTCAGCAGAATGTACTACATACGCTTAGGATCAAATCCTGGCCCTACTTAAGTCAGTGGGGATTTTTGTCACTGACTTCAACTGAAACTGACTTTGGCATAAATTTCAATAAAAATAATTAGATTGCTGTTCCAATAACAGTTTTGACAGCAAAGTTTTGAGGAACCTCTGAATATCCGAGGGAAATAGCAGCAAGACTTGTAAGCCAGGAGGTGAGAAAAAGACACAAAAAGGTCTGAGTATTTATGTGAGACAGCAGGTGAGGTGATCTGGAATAGTTCCAAGACTGTTTAAAATACAATAATGGTTAATATGATCCACAAAGGAAAATTTGGTATATAAAAAAGTGACCCTGAGATGATTATCTTTGGAAACAGGAAGAAACTTTTTTACAGTAAGTGGGACAAACTGACCTGGGCTTCAATAGTGCCCATGTAATGAGGTTCAGAATCACCAGTAGTACTTTCAAAAGAAGCATGCAAATACAATACAAATTAGATCCCAAGATAAAACCTTGAATGAATCTAGAAACATTTTTAGCAACACTAGAAATGCAAGCGCCAAAGGAAAAAAACTGCATATGTTGGTAAGGATTTAATTATTTCTATTTGAACAACATGCCAGATATCACAATACACGTGTTTCACTGTGACATGATTCAGGTATCAAATGCCACAGAAAGGTCCAACAATATATACAGTGACACAAAAGCTTTGCTATTACATATGCACAGGTTACTACAGAGCTGAAGAAAAGCTTACTTATGGGTGCTAAAAGAAAAACTAATTACATTTGTCAAATAAATCATTAGGAAGGGTTGCTAGAATTCAGCTGTAAACACTGTTAGCAATCTCTCACAGGAAACAAAGGGTACCAAAAGGCTACTCATCATTCACACTATATTTCCTAAAAAGCTCAAGTTGTTTTAAAAATTGATATTACCACTGCCAAGTTAAAACATTGTGGAAGACTACTGCATCTGAAGAAACAGGGATATTAAAAATATCAGCAGTAAAAGAGTTGAATATATTGAAGGACTTCTAAGCATCCGCCAAGAATCGAATTAGCAATCAATTTTGTTCGGTTTTATTGCAAATTTGTCATTTACAAACAAACAAAAAAATTATGCTAATTAAGAGTTAAATTTAAACTGAACTAATCTTAATAACTTAAACCAACTTGATCTGTGGTCTTGTTTTTCTTTCGATCTGAAGTTGATATATACACCTCTACCCCGATATAACACGACCCGATATAACACTAATTCAGATATAATATGGTAAAGCAGTGCTCGGGGGGAGGGGGGGCGCGAGGGCCTGCGCTCTCCAGCAGATCAAAGCAAGTTTGATATAATGCAGTTTCACCTATAACGCGGTAAGATTTTTTGGCTCCCCGAGGACAGCGTTATATTGGGGTAGAGGTGTATTACCAATTGCTTTCATTGTGGTGCTTGTGTTCCATCACTTGGAAGTGACATGTCTTTACAGATCATCATTCAAAAAATGTGATAAACCAGAAGATACCATCTGTATCCAAGATATTTCTTTACATGACACAGGAGCATCTAATCAAAAGTGTCACAGTTACCAGGTAACTATACCTCTGTCCCCTCTTGGTCTCTTTGAGTATGTCTACAGAGGGATAAAAAACCCTGGGCTGGCCCAGGTCAGCTGATCCAGGCTCACAGGGCTTGTGCTCTAAGACTGAAAAAATCACTGTGTAGATGTTCAAGTTCGGGCTAGAGCCTGAGGTCTGGGACCCTGTGAGGATGCAGAGTCTCAGTACTTGGGTTCCAGCCTGAGCCTGAAAGTCTGGACAGAGAATTTTAGCCCCAAAACCTGAGCCAGAGTCAGCTGTGGATCTTTTATTCTTCTGTAGACATACCCCTAGAGTGTACTCCCCAAATCTCAGGCCTTGAGCTGTTACCTTTCTTGGAGTGAAATCATGTGATTCTCCCACTCTTAGACCAGCCTTGAGCTGCAGTTCTCAGGTACTAACCATGATTATCTCAGCAGGTCTCAGTTAGGTTCATTCCCTGTTGTTCTGTTCCCTCCAGGACCTATAACCAGTGGTGTCCAATGACCAGACGGCCTTCTTTAAACAAAATATTGTTTTATGTAGAACAGTGGTTTTCAATCTTTTTTCATTTGCAGATCCCTAAAAATTTCAAATGGAAGTGGAGACCACTGGAAATCTTAGGCACAGGCCACAAGCTGAAAACCATTGTTCTATAGTAATTACAACCTGTTGTGGACCCCTTAGACAGTCTGCGGACCTCCAGAGGTCCACAGGTTGAAAACCATTGATTTAGAACCAAACCATTTCAGAGAAAAAGATCTTAAAACAAAGAGACTGTACACATATCTAGTTAAGGAAGGGCCCAACTGCTTCAGATGTTGCCACAGGACCTGTTTCTGTCTCCCTGACAGTCTGTTCTCCCCAGGAACAGCTGAGAACTCCCCTCCTGGAGTCTTTTTAACTGTTTCATGTCCCTTTGAATTATTGTGGGAATCTGAAAGTAGCAGCTTCACCGATAATAACATTGTCACTGTCTTGTAATCTCCCTGCTAGGATTTGTTGGAAGGAAGCTTATCTAGAGCTTGTGTTGCCTTTCTGCTTCTTTTTCTAACAGCCCCGCATTAACTGAAATGAATACATTCATATTGGAAAGCCCAATAACCCAGCAGGAGCTATTTCAATAACCAATCACGTACAATATTTATAAAGTTACAGAGCAGTGTTCCTAGAGTTACATAGAAGTTCCATGTTTGCCACAATAAGTGTATAGTCTTTTTCTAAGTCTTACTTTGAAGAGATGGATCATCCAAGAAATATTCATGAGATTCTTTAAGTTCCCCAGGCTTTGCTTCACGAAATTCACTTCTAAGAGAGATTTTCCACCATCTGAAAATTACCTAGTGATTGATAAGAAGATATTGGCAAGAATTAATGAACATCAACTACTAGTGGATAGAATATATAACTATAATCCTGAATTTTAATAGTAACAACTATTTCATTTCTAAGTATGTATAAATTGTCATACTGGATCAGACCATAGCTACTCCCAATGGCCACATCTGATGCTTCAAAGGAAACAAATAAACAAACAAAAAAACCCCCAACCACCTTAATGCACCTAGACAAGTGTGAATGCTGTATATGCAGGGAATATTCTTTCTTTATCACTGCATGACAACTTTTTATATCCTTAAGCGTGAGATTTAATTAATATCTTGACTTGTATAACTACAAATATTCTTTTTCATTCTGCATTTAGCAGCAGATGTGTGTGTACCAAAGGATAAAATTAAAAATACATATAATGAAGATGCACTGTTTACATACTCTAAATGAAAATTTCAACTAAAAATGCTGATTATAATCTGAATAATGAAAGGCTCTGATGAAAAATGGGAGTACAGTTCACTAGATAGGTGTTGCAGAATAAGCAAGTTAGAAACCTTAAAACCATCAACCTCAGCCTAGACCAATCCACACAAGCGGTCCATTTCCTGGACACCACTGTGCTAATAAGCAATGGTCACATAAATACCACCCTATACCGGAAACCTATTGACCGCTATACTTACCTACATGCCTCTAACTTCCATCCAGGACACACCACATGATCCATTGTCTACAGCCAAGCTCTAAGGCTAGGTCTACACTACCGGGGGGCCGGGGGGGAGGGTCGACCTAAGATATGCAACTTCAGCTACGTGAATAGCATAGCTGAAGTTGTGTATTTTAGGTTGACTTACCTCACTGTGAGGACAGCAGCGAGTCGACCACTGCCGCTCCGCCGTCAACTCCGCTTCCGCCTCTTGCCGCGGTGGATTTCCGGAGTCGACGGCAAAGCGATCAGGGATCGATTTTATCGCATCC